TTTTCTTTTTATTTTTTGTTTTTTAGAATAGCTGGTCAAAAAAAAAAAAGCCACTATTGAATAAACTTTCTAAATGATGACGTAAGAATGGCATCAACCAAACCTCTTTCAGCAAGTGACTGGAATGGATCTGGGATCGTTCTTATTGATGGGATGCCATTCTTTGGACTACTCTTGATAACATACAAAAGTAAGTTAGTTGTCAATTTCTTTCTCATCTACTTGAATCGTGGAATGTGGGAAACACCCAATCCAGATTTCTGGAACTCTCACAGTGTCTGTAGTGTAAGGCCGCTGCACTGGCCAACTAGTAAATGCATCAGCAGTCTTGGCGTGTAAGACCCCGTAGTAATGATGGCAGCAGCTGCAAGCTGTGGCAGGTCATATTGGTGGGACATTTGAGACGCTCCAGAGAGCAGGGTTAGAGCAAGAGTCGAAGGAGGATTAGTGAATCCGAAATGCCATGACCACTGGAGAGAAAGTTTAGCTTTAGTTCCTAAAAGGATCATCATCATTGCTGTTGCAATACTTTGATGTATTAATGGTTTTAATCATAATTGTTCTTAAGACGTAGCACTATCTGTTCACCTATCAATACTGCGTGTGACATCATTTTTGGGTACAGCGTTCAGTTGGAAAAATGAAGGGCATATCCCATTGTATTCTAAAAGTGATGTAGGGATTCTCTGTATCTCTTAGCCCTCAGTATCCACATCTCTCGCTGGCTTAGGAGTAAGTTCTGCTGAAGTAAGTCTTAGTGACAGATAGGAAGGAATGCGGTATCAGTGACTTAACTGATGCTATGTGTTTGTCCCCGAGCATGTTTCCCAAAGCACAGTAGGTAAAGTGTGTGCATGTAGTTAGGAGAGGCTATGCCATGCTGTGGTAACTAATCAGGTAGAGTAACATATGTTTAGTTCCTGTTCAGGTAAAGTCTCCTGTGGGTCCAGGTAAGCTTTCAGGCCAGCTGGCCCCAAGTATGGTGATTCAGTAATCTAAGATGCTTCAGTCCTGTATCTTCACCATTTCAGTGTAAGGGCTCCTCCTTTTCTGCAAGCTGCTTCTCCTTTTCTGCAAGAAAAAACTTGAGACAGAATTGTGTGGGAGCATTTTACTGCTCGGCCCAGATGTGACACATTTATTTGGTGGTCAAAATTTGTCACATGGCTTCACGTGACTGCCAAGGGGCTGGGAAATATGGTCTCTCATATATTTCTTTCCTTCCTCTCTTCCTGGGTAGGGAGGAAAGAAAGAATGGATATTCTTGAGGGCATTCGTAAGTATTGCATCCCATGGTATGTGAGATAATTTTAAGTCGTGCAGAGATAAAGTTTTACAATTTTTGTTGGTTTCCACATGTGTTTGAAAAAATATCAGTAGCACATGAAGCCTATGAAGTAATGATTTCATTTTGTATAAATTTAAGTTAAATTTTAATTGCAAATACTATGCTATTATGGTAAAAATGGTGAGAGTAGCTAACAGATGTCTAATGTTTTGACAACACTGACCTAGAGGAACCACTGTAAAACTCAAATTTTAGTATGTACAACTTTAGGCAAGTTGCAACTATCAGGTGGGGCATAGGAATGTGTTCTTTTAGCAAATACCCTGTGTGATTCAGCAGCAGATTGTCTGGGACCACATACTGGGAAGGATTATTTCAGAGGCAGTTGCTCTTCTGCTACTAAATGGAGAACCAGTGACAGAATCCACATGGGGGAGCTTGGAAATCCTGTTGAGTACTCCGCTCCGCCCGCCCCTTTTGTCCCCTCACTACCATGGTGTGACCCTAGCAACAAAGGGTTAAGATTTTGGAATGAAACATTTGACCTGGCCGGCAATACCTTCAGAATTGCCATTTCCCAGGACTCCTGGGTGGCTCAGTTGGTTAAGTGTCTAACTCTGTTTTGTCTCAGGTTGTGATCTCATGGGTGGTGAGATGGAGCCCTGTGTTGGGCTCCTCACTCAGTGGGGAGTCTGCTGGAAGATTCTCTCCTTCTGCCCATCCCCTCACTCATGTGTGCTCTCTCTCTTCTCTCTCTAAAATAAAGAAATCTTAAAAAAAAAAAAGAATTGCCATTTCCCTTCTTACCTGGTTTTCCATGTTGTCTAATGCTGTTCAAACTGGCAGTCTAGCTCCTCTGATTGGTAATACCAAGAGATACTGTTGCTAGTCCCAAAGCTCTTCAGTTCACTGAAGCTATTCATTCAACGTGGCAGGTCAGTTTTGTTATTTAACTGTTTTTTTTTTTTTTTCTATTTCCATGTTTTCCAAGGGTACCTCAAAATCTCTCCCATGAAGGGTAACATGTCATGATGTCCTGATTTGTCTATAATGTATTTGGTTTGTATGTGGTTATTAATAGAAGACTCTTTTACTCTTAAAACATGTCTTGTTTGGATGATAAATTATACGGTGACCCTGCTCCTCAGGGTCCTTCTTATTTTATTTTATGATGCAAATGACTGATTTCGTCTCAGAGACTCTTCATTCCATCGATAGTGGCCAAAACCACATGGGGGCAGCTGTGGCTGTGGTTAGTTCTGGATGTTTAGAATTTTTAATAATTTTGTTTTTTTCTTTTGGCATCATCTTTAGATTATAGACTAGAGAGGAAGGTAGAAGGACATACGGAGGAATTAAAGGGAATAAGCAAAGGCATTGATGACTGAAGGATAAACCAAAACACATTTCGAGAAGCCCAAAGGAGCTCATTATTCTGGCACATACTTCAAGGTGCCCTAACTGAATCTGAAGGATGACACGTAACACCAAAGATGAATCTCCGTATGTAGCTTGTACGTATGTAACGGACATCTGTAACATTTGTCTCATTGACATTGATGGTATGAATTTTGTATCCTAATGAAATGGTTGTAATGTCTTACATGGCCTCAGGTCGGTAACAGAGTTAGAACAGGCACTACACAATTTTAAGTGGAATTTCAGTTGTATGAGCCTAGACATATATTTGTAATAAAAGTTATATGCTCTACATTTACTTTTCCTGGAATCCTACCATTAGATAACACATGTAAAAGCTGCTATTTACTTTCTAGTTACTTCAATTCTGGAAGAGAGCGAAAGAGGATTCCAAAGGTACATTATATTACACTTAGAGCAACCTTTAGGTCTGTAGCTCATCAGACTGGCTTTTAAAATATGCAAGCGCCTACAGAGACCACCCCAGGTTAAAAGTCTCTAAATACTTCACGTTGCTCTACTGTTAAATAATGTTTAGAGTTTGTTATCTTTTGTAGACCTTGGAAATCTAATTATTTATAATATCCAGTGACATTTACATTTTACTAAATTATACTCTGCTTGTAATAGAACATATCATGCTTAGGAAAATGGGTAGATAATGCCTGGCTCTACGTTTGCTTATATATAATGCAAAATATCAGGGTAACCTGTGTTCTCTTTTTGTTATAATCATACGATTTTAAACACATAATTCTCAAGAAGTGCCCTTAACCGGTACCATTTAAAAACAATAAGAAAAGTAGCTTTGTTTACCATTTAACTCTTGACTATCAAATCACATACCTATTCAAGTTTATTGGTCTCTTAAAATAGTGACATTCATTTCCATGCCAACAGCTACAGAGTGTTTGGTTTAGTTTTTGAGATTGATTGAAAGTAGATTGTAAAGTTGACCTGTTGTGTTAAGCTTATTTACACAAACATAGTGTCTTGGAAAATAAACTCTGAAAGTGCATAGCAGGAGAATTTCGCATTCTGAGTCTTCTAATACCTGCTTTACTGGGATCTGTCACATAGAGAACCCAAATTTTCCATAGGTACCTTACCTAGGAGAAAATGACTTCAGAATGTATTCTTAAACTTGGGCTGAAATTTATGACTTGCTTTAAAAAAAAAAAAAGGATTTGCTTTTAATTGGTTTGAGGAATTTGCCTAAGTAAAATAATTTTTTTAGTATTAACACATTTATGAAACTATCACAGGTGACTTTTTTTTCCAGGCTCTTGAAACATACTTTCCGTCCGAGAGTTGAAAAATAACATTTCTAAGGTGTAATCAATAATTTTAAAAAAGCCAGAAATGTGAAGAAAAAAAAAAAAGAACAACCCACAATTTCAGTGGAAACTGAAAAGAATCAATTCGGGTGCTGGATGGCGGCAAATAGATTATTTAAAATGAATTTGCATTTATTCAAGGGTTAATCTTGGTGAGTGAGCATTTAAAAGCCCTTCCTGGTGCTCCATCCTCTTCTGTTGTATATACCCCAGTAATCAGCCTATTATATAGATCATTCTCCCTCCTGATCCGTCTTCCCCATCAAAGCTTGGACTTGTCTCCTGCGCTGAGTGACGTGGGGCCAGTAATACTGGGAGGGCGGGTGGGAGCAGGGCACGTGGACCAGAAACACTTCCTAGAAACAGCGCAACCCCGCCTGAACTTTCCCTGTAAACACGGCTCGCTGACAGAACAGCATCCCTGCTGGGTGGATCCTGCAACTCCTAGAGGGAATGGCACTTCTTGTTTTTAATTAGCAAGGTGAAAGGTGAATTAAAACTAGCTGTTTTGCAAGTCAGTGCAAGAGACTGACTCTGGAGAGGCTTCAGGGAGCCAGAAGAGAAGAGCTCCACGGGGAAAGCAGTGCGTGTGCTCCGGGTTTTTTTTCTGAATGAAGCGCTTGCAGAAGTGACTAAAAAAAAAAAAAAAATACAGTTTCCTCCTGAGTCTACTGGCATAGTTGCTGAAGAGAGCTCTGGACTGGACATGGCTCTGAAGGCTCACTCCTTGGAATGTCCTCTTGCTCCCGGCTTATAAACAACTGTCTTCAGGGAAGAAAGGTTTTACATATCCAAATACAGCCTGACAAATGGCACTTTGGGACTGTGCTTTCTGATGACAACGCGTTCGATTTCTGACAAAGCCTCTCACGCGCTGCCCCTGGAGGGGAGTCCTAAGTAAAACTCAGACCCGCCTTAAAGTGAGGATCGGAGGGGTGCCCAGTGTGCACGGCAGCATGGCATCAGCTGCGAACCTTGTCACTCGGCTCCTGTGGGCTTACTTACTGGAGCTTTGGATAGGAGGGCACACGGCTGATACCACTCACCCCCGCTTACGTCTGTCACATAAAGGTAGGTCACCTTTATAGATCCTTTTGTTAAAAAAGAGCGAGAGAAATTAAAGTACTTTAACACAGACCCTTAAAATGCAGCTGAAAAGAATTATTGCAAAACTGACCTAAGATTCTAAGTACCTACTAATTAGCATGTCAATACTTAACCACACCTGAAAATAGTGCAAAATCGCATGCCAACTTAGAGATGTTATTTTTGTCTTGTAAACATTAGGTTGTATTAATGAGAAGTTCACTCTCTAGCAGACACAACAGAAGCGAGCAGGAAGCAGGTTGTAAATAGCCTTGTGGGGCTGAATCCACCAAGTTAGCAGTAGGTATTTGAATACCAATTTATGCATTTTGGGAAGCAAGGATGTGGGAGAAGGGCTTTAGAAATAGAGGTGCAATTGATTTTGGTTTTGTGTTGTCCATAATGGGGATGAGAGGAGGGGAAAAGAAGCAAAATGATTTCCTACCCAGGATCACAGTCATCACCATGTAATTAAAATGACTAACGAGTAATATAAATTAACTTTTTAGTCAAACTGATTATTAGAATTTCTTTCATGTCTGGCGAAAAAATATTCAGAGTTTATTAGCAATCCTTGTAAACTGACTTATATATGATTAAAGTATCAGGATACGATTTACTAGCATCTAGTCTTTTAATGTAAATTCATATTGCTTCACTGAAGATCTGTCAGAAAGTGTTTAAATATTTTATTCTGCAGCTATGTCTTGGAAAGCAGCATTTGGTCATAAATAAATTATCAAAAGATAGCTTTTGCATCAGGACCAGCAAAAGCCAGTCATGAATAGGTTTGGTGATTCTTCCTGTAAACAAACAAACAAAACCCACATGTAGAGAAAGTGACTGCTTACCTAAAAGTAATTTGGAATACATTTTTCAGAAAGAAGTATTTGTTATCACTAATTATTGAGACAGATAACAGTTGCAATAACAATAACTCCAGAAGAACCATTTTTCAATTGTGTGAGCTTTAAAATTGTCCCTATTGTAAAAAGAAACCTGTATTTTTAAAGTATAGGTGTAATCTCTACCAGAGGGAGAAACAAAACCAGGAAGCCTCACTTGTATATGACATGATTGATCATATTTTGGTTTTATTGGACAATCATCTGTTGATTTTGACTATAGAAATTTCTCATGTTTAGAAGAGTTAAAAATCTATGAATACTTTCTTCATTTAAATAGATTACCTATAACACTCTCCAGTAGATAACATAAGTTTAAGAGACACATTGACACTAAATTTATAAAGAATTTAAAAGAGTATCTAGCATTAGCACTGATTATTTGAATTGAAAAGATGTATCACAGTATGTATCAAAATGCATATTTCTAAGAAGTTCAATCAAATGTATCAAAATGTAAAAATTTGGTGTGATGAATTATGGACAAAGAAAGATGTCAGAAGAAGAACATAATAAGTGGATTGTTTTTCTTGTGTAGACAAGAGGATAAGCTGCCAGTTTTGGCGAGCTACCATTCTACTACACCTGGTATTAACCTTTTATACCTTATTGTTAGGGTACTTGTTTTTAGCAGTTATCTATTTATTTAGCAGTTATCTATTATTTATCTATTTAGCAGTTCAATATTAGGGTATTTTCAAAGGTATCTCCTTTTGGTATTTCATCAGAGAGCTTATAATTTGGTCAGAGCATACCAAAACTCTCTAATGCATCTAAATGCTATGCAAAATACTGTTATCAGACTTATCTTCATTACATCCCTCTTTTTTTTTCATTACACGTCTCTTAATCAAAGGAATAACTGTAATTGATTTTATGGGTTGTGTTACATGTTGTGGGAATAGAACTGCTAGTCTCTATGTGTACATTGGACTGAAAACTACCAGCAAATTCCCCTTTGGTTTTTCTTAACCTTTTTATTTAATGGCACTGGCTGAAATGCTCGCTGTTGTGCTTTTATACAAAGACAGTGTATAGTTACCTGAAAATAGAATGTTCTCACTTGTGCAATTTAGCTAGCTAGCAAAATCAGCTGAGAGATCATACCAGAGATGTAACCTAAGCAAATGCCTACTACAGGTGCCTCGTGAAAGCAGAGGACTGCCAGATTAGGAATATGCAGCCCCATCAGTCCACTGTAAGATGCCCCCATTTACTCTTTACCTTCTGGAATTCAGTGGACATTTTAGGGGTATCCAAAAACTATGGGGGTGGTATTTAGGAGTATAATCTTTTGCTATCTTCAGTGATATCAGAAATTGTCACATTTTAGTAATGGGTCAGTTAGTTGATTGATATTATACATGAGTACATGGTCCTTCAAAATAAGGAGCCCTGGATATAAATAATGTAATACCTCTGAACTGCTGCCTAGCCCTCAGCAGATAATTCTGGGAGGCTCCCTGGAGGTGGTGTCCTCCATTATCAGGATGGCACTTGAGACCACAAGCCTAGAGTCTCTCCCCAAAAAGGAGGCAAAATTTCAGTGTCATATTAAAGTTTGAGCTAATCTGTATGAAAATAACCATAACATGCCCTTTTCCTCTCTCCTCCATCCTTCTCTATCTCTGGAAGTGGCATGTTCTAAAAACAGAGTTTAAGAGGGGCGGGGGGAGACCGTTAGAGCTAAAAGGGGAAAAAAGGCAGAGAAGGAAGGAAGACAAGGTAGAAAGTTGGTATCAGACATAGAGCATCTTCTTGCTTATTTCCCACTACCCTCCACCTGCAGTGGCGTAATACTGAATTCCTCCCTCTTCTTACTGAATGTCCACTCCACTCTGACGTTAAGCAAATATGCTGAGAGCAAGCCTAGTGGATAAAGCTGTGAGATATTTACTCTTGTTGAGACAATGAACATATCTTTTAATATATTTTATATGTATAAGATAAATGGGTTAACAGAAATATAGCAAGGTGCTGTCCTGCTTTATAAGACTTTTCAGTCAAGATTTGAGTTGACATTAACTGTACCAGGCAAATATTTAAGGGTTTATGCACAGTTAAGAATTTTAGCCACCTTTATAGCCAGTACCCTAAAGAGGATAATATTGGTGTGATTAATTCAAATTTATAATATTCTACCCAAGGATTTCCTTGAAAAATAGCTGTGATCCTCATGACAGAAGTGAAGGAGAGAGAGAGAAGGAAGAGAGTAGAGTCCTACTAGATTCAGCCACTTCTCTCTGTTGATGTCTGTTCTCTCCTTATCTCTCACCATCCTGCATTAATGAGGTTACAGGGAAGGCAAAAATAACCCTCTTGATAATGGAGCTCAAAGAAGAAAAAACAAATGAGCAAAGCCCCATGTCAAAGAAGAAATCCCAATGTACATGGAAAACCCCAGAAATTCAATCAAGGGAGTTTGGCAGATGGGGTAGGTAATCAAAGACCCAGTAAAGAATGACAATCACAGAAGCCAAGGGGAGTAGTTGCGTAATCAGAGGATGTTTGGTAACGAAGAGGTAACGAAGTAAAGACATAAATATGGCAGAAGATCATTCCTAAAATATGTTGACATTATGAATGTAGATTTGAGCATTGAATATATATCTATACATATAAAAAGTGGGATGAAGAGTATTAATTAGTCTATCTATATTTAGCTATAACCAGTTAAGAACAGATTTGTCATAGTTCAGAGAGTTCAGGATTTAGAGTCAGAGGTCTTCAGCTCTAGTCCTTCCACTTACAGTAATGGTAATTGTCTGTGCCTCAGTTTCCTTAATTTAAAAATAGGGATAGTAATGGTGCTTTCTCTGTGTATCTTCCTGAGTTTTTGAGAGAATCAAATGAAATGACAAAACTGTGAAAGTACTTTATAACCTAAAAGTTATTTTATTAATGTTTCCTGAAGACTGATATAAATTGAGAAGGTTAGAAGGAAACATGTCCTAAAGAGAAAAATCGTTAGGAATGGCATGAGTTTGGATATCAGTAAATGCTAGGATAATGTTAATACAGAAGACAGAAGAAGTTGGTCTTAATTAGCATAAAATGTATGGTTTATCCTGATAGGTGGCATTCACTCCAAATCCCATCTTCCATACCTTTGGCTTCTGGTTATAATAATTTAGAAGATGATTGAATCATCAGTGTCTTTTTTTCCAAGATTCATGTCCAATAGTTTTGCTTTAATAGTATGTGTAGTGTATAAATTAATTATACATATTCATTTTACACCACAACCTTCAGAAGTTTTTCCAGTTTATATGGAAGAAAATTGAGATAGAATTCTAGAAGAGTACAATAAAAACTGAAAGTTTTAAGTGATCATCCTGGAAGCTGTGGTATTCATTTCATATCCAGTGCAAATAAAAAAAGAGGCAGTGACTGGGCCTGTTTTTCCAAACCCAGCTCATAGCTCAGCCAGTAACTGGGTATTATCAATAGTGATACTAGTCACACATCTTTCTGCAATCAATAAATAAAAACTGGTCATAAAGCATGATTCATGAAGAAAGTAGTTAAACTAGGACCCAGGAGTAAACACAGATCTTCATGCCAGATCTTCATCAGGGAGAGTCAGTAAGAATTAAGTGATGGATTTAATAAGAAATACTTTATATTAAATTAAAAACACTAGACTAAGATGAAAGGAATTACAATGTTTTGTTGAGTGTAGTTTATACAGAATATACTTTCTGTAGAGGAAGTCCATGTAAGGATTGTAGATGGTCTATTCTTCATACTTTTATGTTTGTTATGGACACATATTGCCCATGTATAACAGAAGTGCGTATGGATATACTGAAGTCCCTGAGTGAATATGAATTATTTAGTCCTTATCTGGATTTTGGGTCTTACACTGTGAAAACTGTTGTCCTTTAATATAGCGGTAGGGTCAGAGCTAGCAAAAACAGTAAATGGAATTTATAAATGAACTGGGCCAATTTTAGACTGAAAAAATAACTTAGTTGCATAAAACCATTTCTTACAGATCTTAGGAGAGTGTCCTGTCCATAAGATAGAATCTAATACTTGTTCTTGACTATTAAATATATGCAGTAGTCATGTTGTCAC